TGGGGGGACGCTGCCGCTGGGTCCGCCCGAGCCGCCGGGCCGCCCCCAGCGAGGCCGGCCGGGCCTGGGCTCCGGGCCCCGCGAGCCGCGTGCCGGGCGGGGCCGGCGGGGGGAGGCTCGGCGCCCCCGGACCGAGGGGCCCGGAAGTCCTCGCGGAGGGCCCGGGGGGAGCCGGGGTACCCCCCCAAGTGCGGGGTCTGGCGGCTCGGGCCTGACGCCGAGGGGCTGGGTCGCGCCCGGGGGAGGGGTCGGCGCGCCCGAGGTGGCGGTGGTGCTGAGTGTAGGGAGTGCGGTCCAGCCTTGGCCAGGGGGAAAAGGCCTCGGCCACCGGACCTAGGGACCAGGAGGCAGGTCCTTTCGAGTGCTAGGGGAGGAAGGAGCGCCCTTCCCAAGATGAGGGCCTGTAGGAAGGAGAAGGGTCCACCCGAGGGCTTCAAATCTGGGGTACCTCCGGTCTCCAGGTGGAGAGCAGGGTGGTCCTCTGCCTCGGGGAATGAGGGGAACCTGTGGTTATGAGGGGTGCTGAGAATTATGGCTGGGAAGAGGGTACCCCTTGCTTTCAGAAATGACGGGGAAATTGGCCAGGTGTCCTCTAGCTGAAAGAAAAGAGAAATGAGGGCAGGATCTTACCCAAGGGTCTTGACCTAGGGATCAGAGGAAGGAAGGCCTGGCTGTCCAAGGAGCAGGGAAACCTTGAACTTTCTTAATGAGACCTGTCATGGTGTCTAGGAGAACCAGGAAGAGTCTGGAGATTCTTCCCATCTGCCCAGCCTTTGCCTTGGCTAGTGTGATGGAACCTTTTCATAAGGGTTTGGGCCTATCGCTCCTAATTTTTCAGTCATAAAATAACTTGTTTTTCATTTATACTTAGTTATGCTTAATCAAGTTCAGTGATTAACTACATTCTCCTGAGCTTCAATAGGGTTAGTTTGGGCCCTGTTTTGTTTCCTTAGATTCTAGAGGGATGGATAACTTAAAAAAAAAAAAAAAAACATATCCATTTATTCCTCCAAACACTTACTTAGAATTTTCCAATTTGTGATCCATATAGAAATTCATTTCCTTTGGATACTTCCTGCAAAAGTTCTGGGTAATGACCTTGGATTTATTATATGTGAGTTCACTTTGGCTCAGCTACTGAGTGCATAACAAAGGGGTGGATTTAATGAGTTTTGTGTTTAAGTAATAAAGTTGCAACTTGGAGATGTTTTTTGTTTTGTTTTTGGTCTTTTGATTGTTTTTTTGTTTGTTTGGTTTTGTTTTTTTGAGACTGGGTTTCTCTGTGTAGCTCTGGCTATCCTGGAACTCACTCTGTAGACTAGGCTGGCCTCGAATTGTTTTGTCTTTGAGACAGGGTATCTCTGTGTAGTCCTGGCTGTCCTGAAATCTGTGTAGACCAAGGTGGCCTCCAACTCAAAGAGCTCCACCTGCCTCTGCTGGGATTAATGGCATGTGCTGCTGCCACAACTACCTAGTTTGCTTGCTTTCCTTATAGATTGGGTCTTACATAGTCGTGGCTGGCGTCAAATTCACAGGGACCCATCTGCCTCTGCCTCTCAACACTGGGGCTCACTATGTATCCCATGTTAGCTTTGAGCTCACTATGTAGCCAGGCTGGCCTTGGACTTTTAGTAGTGCTGTCTCGATGCCCATGTGCTTGAATCGTTATACCAAACTGATGGCTTGTTTTTTTCTTTCTTTAAAATTTTTTTTTTTTTTCCCTTGGGATCTAACTTTGTAGCTCTGGTTTGACTGGACTTGCTATGTAGACTAGACTGACTTCACACTTGTGTGTGATATTTCTGCTTCTGCCTGTCCTGGGCTGAGATTTTAAAGTTCAGATTTAGTACTTGTCATGATGGCACATGCCATCAGCACTCACTTGGAAGGCAGAGGCAGGCAGATATTTGAGTTTGAGTTCTGCTACATCTCAAGTTCCAGGACAGCCAGGGCTACATGTAAACCCATGTCTAAAAAAAAAAAAAAAAATTACATTTGTGTGTCTGCACACATCGTGAGCATACCATGGTGTATCCCCGGAGCTCAGAGGACAACACAGGGTTTGGTTCTCGGCTTCTGAGGACCAATCTCAGGTTTTCGTGTTTGGCAACAATAGTCTGACTTTACCTGCAGAGCTATCTTGTCAAGCACCTCTTCCCCCACCTTTTTTTTTTTTTTTTTTTTTTTTTACAAAGGTCTTGTGTAGCTTTTGCCTTCTTAGGTAACAGGATGACTTTGATTCCCTGACCCTTCTGCTTCTACCCCCAGGGTGCTGACTTACATACTTGTGCCTCTATGCCTGGCTTCATGCTCACTTCAAGTTTTTAAAAATTTATTATTCTGTATGCAGGATGTTGGAAGGGGGTACTTGTGCTGTGGTATGGGTGTAGTTGGAGGCTGGAGGATTTTATGGAATTCTTTTTCACCTTTACATGGATGGGGTCTATCTAATAGGACTCAGGTAACCAGGCTTGCAGGGCAAGCACCTTTTGATGGTCACTTTTTGTCTTGAGAATAACTACAGAGCAACAGTGCGTTAGCACTGTAATCCCAGCGCTCTGTAGGCTCAGCCAAGGGGCTTGAAAATTCAAGCCCAGCATGGACTACCTAGTGAGACTCTTGTCTCAAAACAAACACCCCAAGAGACTTGAGTGTGATGGTTCTTGTCTGCAGTTTCTGACCTTGAGAGGTAGAAGGGAGAGGATCAGTAGCTCAGGGTCATCCTCTGCTATATAGTGAGTTTGAGACCAGCCTGGGAAACTTTGTTTCAAAAAGCCCAAACCCAAACCAAAGCAAGGATAACAAAACTACAGAGCAACTCTTTTGCTGCAGGTTGAACCTATGGTTCATGCAAGCCACTGCCCCAGCTGTACTCAGCTTGCAATACTTGTTTCCACATAAACTGTCCAAGTTTTAATAGAATTATGTTGTGTTTTTGTATGTTCTCATAGAATTACAGAGCACACAAGGTGTGTGAGTTCAGGAGGGATATTGAAAGGCCTCTGGTGGAATCCCCACAGGATCCTCTCCCTCCTCTTGTCTCGGGAGCGTTCGTTGTTATAAACAAGGGGCGGTTTCCGTTCACACAGGTTAAAGAGATGACTTTGCAGTTAGCCATGCTGGTTTGTGGTTACTCACTAGAAATGTGTTGGAATGGACTCTCTTCTGCCACTAAAAACATGTTCTAGATGACTCTAGTCTCAATGTTTAGAAACCAGAACATTCTTCTTAGGTTCCAAGGTATGGAAGGAATCGGGTGAAATACAAGCTCTGTAGCGGAGGGTGTTAATGGACAGTTTAGCCACCCCCTTACTCAAGATGTCCAAGGGAGCTTAACCTTACTGGATAGAAGGTTGAAATCAGAAGCACCATTCTGATTCTCCTATGGCCCATTAATTTACCTGAACTATTAATTTTTTAAAACCCTATAGCTGGGTGGTGGTGGTGCATGCCTTTAACCCCAGCACTTGAGAGACAGAGGCAGGCAGTTGGAGGCCAGCCCGGTCTACAGCGTGAGTTCCAGGAGAGCCAGGGTTACACAGAGAAACCCTGTCTTGGGGTGGGGTTGGGCACTTAAAGTACCTGAAGACAGTCTTTGACACTGAAAGGGAGTAGGGTAGTCCCAGTACTACAGGGAAGGAGGATTGCTAGAAGTTTGAGGCTGGCTAGCTTGGGCAACATATTGAGTACCAAGTCGGGTAGCTATTATATAACAAGACCTTGTCCCATCCTTCTGCCTCTCCCACTACCCCCCAAAATTAAATCTCTGATCTTTTTTTAGTGGAATAAATCTCCCGATTGGGAGTCAAAATTATGCCTCAAGTGTTATTCTATTTGCTTCTTTGAGATTACTTTTTTAGCTGGATGTGGTGGCGCACACCCTTAATCCCAGCGCTCAGGAGGCAGAGGCAGGCAGAGCTCTGTGAGTTCAACGCCAGCCTGGTCTACAGAGAGAGACTCTGTCTTGAAGAGAAAAAACAAACAACAACAACAAAAAAACTTTCTTGTTTGGGGCTAACCTCAATCTAGTGAGTATCAGGCTAGCCAGAGCTGCATAGTAAGACCCTGTCTCAAAAAACTAATACAAAACAAAAAGATTTATTTTCTTTGTTATGCATATGAATATTTTTGCCTGTGTTTATGTATGCCATGTGTGTGCCTAGGGAAGTCAGAAGAGGGCATCAGACCCCCCTGGAACTGGAGTTAAGGTCACTGTAAGCCCCTTTCTGGGTGCTGGGAATCCAATCTGGATCCTCTATAAGATCAACAAGGGCACTTAGCAGATGATGCATCTCCATCTCGCCAGTCCCTACTTCAGACCTTGAAGAGCTGCTGTTTTAGCATGCAGCAAACTCAGAAGAGTCCTTTTAAAATTGTAATGTGAAGCTGGGCACAGTGGCACACACTTGCAATATCAGAATCTGGGAAGTGGAAGCAGGAGGATCGTCCTTAGTGAAATAGTGATTTTTAAGGCCACCCCAAGTCACCCCCAAATTAGTAAACCTGTAGCATTCCAGCAGCTCTGGAGGCTGCTGCAGGAGCATCCCTTGAGCTAGGAGTTAGAGACCAACCTGGTCGGCAGAGCAGAACCAACCTGTGGGAAAGAATAGCCCGCACTTGTACCTAAGCCTTCATCTCAGTGCCCAACAACCCCCACCCACCCTCTCTCCCACAGAGGAAAACGAAGCATGGTGGGAAACGAGCACAGACAAACCTAATGAAGGAAGTCACTGGAAGGCCTTTCCAAGGGAGCGGTGCTTCAGATACCTCCAAAGGGTTAACAGAGAGTAGCCGGAAGGAAGGGACAGATGAGAGGCACAGTCCAGGAAATGCTGCATGTTTGAGAACTGGAAACAGTGACGGGATCCCACAGGTACCAGCTGTGAGAAGCAGGGCTGCTTTGGAAGACTTTGTAGGCCACTGTAAAGCGCTTGTACTTTATTTTCATAGCAACTGGAGAACATTTACGTCGTTTTTAAGTGGGAAAGTGGCCCATGGCCTTTACAAGGATCACTTCAGTTGTTAATGTGGAGAATGAATTGGAGGAGTCCAAGACCAAAGATTAGGATATGGAGAAAGGGCTGGAAGAACTCAGGTAACACTGTGGCTTGGCAGTCCAGATATGGTGTTGACAGCACAGATGGAGAATGGGAGGTTCACACACACACACACACACACACACACACACGATTGGATTTTGTGGTTGATTGGATTTAGAAAGAAGGCAAAAATAACTCCCAGGTTCCCTTCTTTTGAAAATGGGTGGAGGGTAGCATCACTTAGGAAAACAAAATCTAGGAGCAGGTTTGAGAGATTATGGTTCAGTGCTTTAATAGAGGCCAGTAAATACAGGGTTATAGAATTAATTTTAAAAGTTGAATGGAATTAGAAGCCAGATACGAAGAAATTTGGTTAGGTTACAGATACATGAAAAAGTGAATCAGCAGATGTAGCAGCATAAAAGCTGAGGAGAATGGTGGAGGCTGCTTAGATAGACCGGTGCGGAAGCAGAGAAATCCTGTTTCTAAAAACCAAGAAAGGATGGAAGGGGGGGGTGGTGGTTGGGAGGATATGAGTGTCATACACCTCTAATCCCAGCACTCTGGAGGCAGAGGCCAGCCTGGCCTACAAAGCGAGTCCAGGACAGCCAGGGCTACACAGAGAAACTTTCTTAAAAAACCAAAAAAGAAAGGAAAGGAACCACGAGCTCTGGATTATAGTTCAGTTGCTAATGTGCGTGGATGGCCCTGTGTGCAGTCCCCAGAAGCAGCAGAACGAACAAGAAGATACAGGACAGCTGTGGCTGCAAAGCCTGCACAGGTGACCGCAGCGTGGGGCAGCATGTCAGCACAGGAGGGACAGGCCACATTTGGGGGAGATTCTGAAAGGAAGTGCAGGGATGATGGCTGCATAGAGGAGAGAGCTTTGCATCGGGCCTTGAAGAAAGAACATTAGGGAAAAAGTCCTAGGGCTTAGTGAATAAAGAGTCTTAGCGATCTAGAAGCACGTTAGTGTATGTTTAGAGTGCCCAGTGGCTGATACTGCTGGAGAGGAATGCTGTAGGTAAAATGAGCATACTGAGGCCAGTGAGGTCCACTCTGAGCTGCACCATAAATATGTGTATTTTTGGCAAACAAGGCTGACAGAGCTACGGAGTAACTTAAGTCTCAAGTCTCTGGCTGCCAGTTACACAATCCAGTTAGCATCCATGATCGACATGGCTGGTCTCCCTATACTTCCATATACTCACTTAGTAAATTCAGTGTGTTTTCTTATATTCTCCACTGACTGCAGTTTCTCTTTCCTCCTCCTCCTTTTTTTTTTTTTTTTTTTTTTTTTTAAAGACAGGCTGTTTTCAAATGCTCCATAATCTTCCTGCTTCAGCCTCCCAAGTATTGGGATTATGGTGTGAGTCACGGAACCTGGCCCCTCTCTCTTTTCGGGTGTAGTGGAAAGGATTGCAGGCATGCTCTGTGTTACAGCACCTGCCCACCACGCACAAGCTCCTGAGTCGGGTCCCTGGCACTGAAAAAAACCAATTTCCTGAGTTCTGAGGGCAAACAGCTATAGGATAGCCTTAGACCCTCTGAGTTTTCATAAAGATCGGGACAGTGGACCCAGCAAGATTGTGCCATAGGTAAAAGTGCTTGCCATGCAAGCCTAAATCCATGGTGGAAAAAGAGAACTGACCCCTGAAAGTTGTCCACTGACCTCTGCATGTGTGCCTTGGCATGTGGATTTTCATACAAACAACAATTTAAAAAGGAAAGATTGGGTTAGTACTTTAGGTTGAAGGAACACACAGTACTTGGTGGTTTCCTCAGTGGCTCTGCAGGGGCTGCGAAAAGGGTCATCTCCATTCACTCTGAGGAACTACGTGTTGCTGTGACCCATGTGGGGTGCATACCTTAGTCCCAGCTCTCCCAGGGAAGCGGGAAGACTGGCAGGAGTTCAGGGTCCTTCTCAGCAACATAGCAAGTTCCAAGTCGGCGGAGGCCATTTGAGACCCCATCTCTAAAAATAAAACAAGAACATAAAGTTCTTAGAGCCAAGCTTGGTGACTCACACCCTGAAGTTCCAGCACAGCAAAGCCGAGGCACATGGATTGCTTAGAGTTTGAGAACAGACTTCAGAATGAGACCCTGTCTCAAAAAGAAAAGTTCTGGGTGGGAGAGCTGGCTCAGTGGTTAAGAACACTGTTCTTCTGGAGGACCCAGGTTCAATTCCCAACACCCATGTGGCAGTTCACAACAGTTCCAGGGAATCCAACACCCTAACAGATATTCAAAAGCAAAACACCAATGCACATAAAATAAAAATAAATTATTACAAAGAGAAGCCTTGTGGTGGTGCATGCTATAGGATCTCTGAGTTTGAGAACAGCCTTGTCTGCAGAGGGAGTTCATTAACAGCTATCCAGCTGAATTCAGATACTTACTATTTGTGAAGGATAGAGCACTATTTGTAATGTCATATAGCTGATAAGTGATACTTGCACTTAAAACAGTTACGACTCCTACTTTGGGATGGAACTAGTCTGTTTTGTAAAGTGAAAAACAAGCCAGGTGTGGTACATGCTTGTAACGTCAGCACTTGTGACAGAGGTGGGAGGATGCGCAAGTTGAAGCCAGCCTGGACTACTTACTGAGAATGGCTTCTCAAAAACAAAATGAAGGTGTTTCATCCCAGAACTCAGGAGGCAAGGCAGGCTCATCTTTGAGTTTGAGGCCAGCCTGGTCTACATATTGACTTTCATGTCAAACAGCATTATATAGTGAGACCCTATCTCAAAAACAAAACAAAGAAAACCTCCAAACAACATGGACAAAACCTTAAATTCTAGTGCTGTTAATTTCTGTGTTGTGTGTAATCCCTCCCAGTGCTGATAACTCCCCAAGCTGCCAATGTGATGTCTCTAATCCTGAGATGCAGTTAGGTCTGAGAAGCTGGTAGAGTTGGCACTGGCAAGCCACTGGTGAATCATATCATGAAAACATACTAAGAACTGTGTCTGCCTCTGTCAGCTCCCTCTCAGCCCTCATTCTTCGCAGAGCACAGTGGTTCCATGGTGCTCAGCACTGTTCGCTTTCTTGGCACTCCTTTCCTGTAGTTGTGTCTTTCAAGATGAAGTTACTCACGCTTCTTTTTTCTAGCAGCAGCCCCAGCTAGCTGACTTCATGTGAAAGATGGCTAATGCAGAAGTGAGTGTCCCAGTGGGAGATGTGGTTGTGGTCCCCACTGAAGGAAATGAAGGGGAGAACCCTGAAGACACTAAAACTCAAGTGATCTTGCAGCTGCAGCCTGTGCAACAAGGGTAGGTGGCTGAAGGTTCCGCTATTCTGAAAACGCGTTATGGGAGGCCTAAAGGATAGGGAAAGAACTGTACAGCACGGACAGTCAGCGTCAGTCAGAGCTACCTGAGTTTCCATTTCCTTCCGTCATCGTAGAGCTGTTTCCTCGTGTACCTCTGTGTCTTTATAGTGTGAACTCTCTGAGGGTGAGTTACATGGCTCCCCCATTTTCTCTGTTCACACTGTTTGGCACAGGGCCCAGGCATATTTCTCAAATGTGTTGTTGACCCAGAGACTGAGCACGGCACCTCCAAAAATATTTCTACCATGAGCCTCAAACTCTCATGGATTGGCAAATTACCAAGCTTGGTCTATCAAAAGTATCCACCACTACCACCACATGATGCCTTATGCAGGTGCTGGAAGATATAGAGAACAAGGTCCTCGCCAACATGAAGCTTGCACTCTAGCTGTAAAAGCCAAAAGTGCATGTATGTAAAAATGGAATCCCTTCAAAAAACTAAGCAAAACAACGGCAACTATACACACATACACGTGCGCATTCACACACACACACATATACACACTCTTGGGGCTGGAGCAAAGGCTCCACAATTAAGACCACTGACTGCTCTTAAGGGGGACCCTGATTTTGTTACCAGTACCCACACAGCAATGGGCACTGTATGTATTTGGCGTTCATATATGCATGCAGGTATTCACTTCTAAAAGTAAATTTCTTTTTAAAAAATCACAAAAAGAATTCAAACAAAAGTTTGAATTGTTGTAACTGGCCCAAAAAGGGTGGTTGGGAGAGGAAGAAAGAAAAAGAGACTTATGGCATGGCATGATGATAACCAAATAGGGTAGCTGGTTCAAAAGCTGAGGGTGGCAGCAAAGTGAGGAGATAAAGGAGAGTTTGATGCTACATACTCTGTCGTTTATTTATCTTTTGAGACAAGGTCTTACTGCGTAGCACAGATTTTTCTTTGTATTACAGACCCTTCCTCCTGTATTAGGATATATATAACACTGCTTCCAGATTTATGTTTGTTTAATATTTTTTAATTTTTAAAAAAATTTTAAAAATAATTAATTTTATTTTATGTGTATTAGTGTGAAGGTGTCAGATCCCTTGGAATTGGCTGTACAGACAGTTGTGGGTGCTGGGAATTGAACCTGGGTCCTTTGGAAGAGGAGAGGGTGCTCTTAAACACTGAGCCATGTCTCCAGCCCTTACTTCGAAATTTTTGAGTGTGTCTTTGCATGGGAAAGATACATGAATGTGTGCATGAATGTAGATGCACATGAGAACCAGAGGAAGGCGACAGATCCTGGGGCTGGATTACAGGCAGTCATGAGCCACCAGATATGGGTGCGTCCTCTGAGAACAGGCAGTATTCTTAACGACAGAGCCATCTCTTCAGCACAGTTCTCTTTTTGTTTTTGAAAGTATGATCGCTGGTCTCAGTGACATATGCATGTAATCTCAGCCCTCTGGGAGGCAAAGGCAGGCGGATCTCTGTGAGTTTGAGGCCAGCCTGGTCTAGAAGTGAGTCCAGGACAGCCAGGGCTACACAGAGAAACTATGTCTCAACAAACTAAAAAACAAAAGAAAAAAAAAAAAAGAAGAAGAAAGTAGGATCTCAGGCTATCCTTGAACTCACTACAAAGTCCAGGCCGACCCCAAAGTAGCAGTCCGCCTATCTCAACTTCCCAAGTGTTGGAACTGCAGGCGTGCAGTACTGAACTGGACTTATGTTTGTGCTTTTCCAGGTATTCATTACATATACATTTTTGCAGGAAGGCATTAGGCAGCAAAGGTAGGCTGGAGCAGTCTTTCCGTATGTACCCCGGGAAGCCGGCACAGTTCATGAGAGGATGCTTAAGCTAGACCTACAACATAACCTTTGTTTCTCCCATCTACAGTAAAACAGCTACAAGGCTTTTGCTAATTCTAGGGAAGGTCTGGGGTATTCTCAGTGGTGAAGCACTTGCCTGACATTGGCCAGGCCCTGAGTTCACACTTCCCTCACTGTAAATGATAATTCCCAGAGCTTTGCATAGGAAATAGGATAGTCACAATGTGCTTTCTTGAGAGAGACAGAGACAGAGAGACAGGGAGAGAATGTATTGGGGAGAAGTGGGGCACAGTAGCAGATGCCTGAAAGTCCAGTACTCAAGGCTATGCTCAGGTGCATAGCAAATTTGGGGCCAGCCTGAACTACATTAAGTCTAGCCTCAAAACAAACAAAAATCCAATGAAAAAGACCCAGTAACTACTGACGGTTCTGGAGATGTCACTGAGTGTCACAGCACTTCCCTAGTGTGCGGAAGGTCCGAGTTACATCTCTAGCATCTCAAGTAGAATGGAACCATTCCAGAATGGTTGTACACTCTCAAATCTCTTTATAACAGAGAGCTCAGAGGAGATATTCACATGTCGCCATTCCTCACTTCACAGGCCATTTTAGATTTTTTTTTTTCTTTTCTGAAGGGGGGGTTTCAAGACAAAGTTTCTCTGTGTAGCCCTGGCTATCCTGTATTTCCTTTGTAGACCAGGCTCTGTCAAACTCACAGAGATCCACCTGCCTCTGCCTCCTAAGTGCTGGGAATAAAGATATGCACCACCACGGCCGGCTCCATTTTGGATTAATAATAGTTTTTCTTTTGATATTATTCATTTTTGTTTGTTTTTAATGTATGTGGGTGTTTTGGCTGCATGTATGTTTGGTCACCATGTGCATGCAGTGTCCACAGAGGTCAGAAGAAGAACTAGAGTTGGTGCAGGTTTTTTTTTTCCCACCAATATTTAGGTGCTGGGAATTAAACCTAGCACTCAGGAGACAGAGGCAGGCAGATCTTTCTGAGTGAGGCCAGCCTGGTCAACATAGTGAGTTCCAGGACAGCCAGGGCTGTATAATTAAATCTAATCTCAAAAATAAATAAATAAATAAATAATATTTAAAAATAAGCCCAACCCAGGCTCTTTGGAAGAATAGCCAATGCTTTTAACCACTGAGCCAGCTCTCCAGCCCCTTGTTTTATTCTTTTGAGATTGGGTCTTACTGTGTAGCTCAGGCTGGCCTCAACTTGATGCAGTATTGCTTTAGCTTTCTTTATTGTGGATTACAGACATGAGTCATCAGGCTCAGTGGTTTTTATACTTAAAGCATTATCTTCAGTTCATTCCTTATTCATTAAAGAACTATTTACTGAAGATACTGTATTGCCCTGTTGGTATATTTAATGTCAGGCTTACATAGTGAACAAATGAACAATATGTCTATTCTAGATTATCTCTTCGGGGAGACATAGATAAATAAGAATTTGGGTTTTTTTTATTTATTTCTTTTAATTGTATTAGTATTTTGCCAACATGTGTCTGGTGCCCTTGGAGGTGAGAAGAAGGCAGGTACCCTAGAACTGGATTTAGCCATGAATGGGAGCCAGTGTTTGGGTGCTAGGAACTGAACTGGGGTCCTTTGCAAGAACAACAGAACTCTTAACCACTGAATCATCTCTCCAGCCCCAAGATGTTTTGTTAAATACTAAATGTGTTGTGACAAAAAGCTCAAAAATAGTTGCACCAAAGAGGAGGAATGGATGACTATACTGGAGGTAGAAGGAAAATCATCTTTATTTACTTTAATGATTTATTTATTTTTATTTTATATTCATTAGTGTTTTGCCCCATGTGTCTGTGTGAGAGTGTGGGTCCCCTGGAACTAGAGGTACAGACAGTTGTGAGCCACCATGTGGGTGCTGGCTGTCCTCTGGAAAAACAGCCAGTGCTCTTCACTGCTGAGCCATTTCTCTAGCCCTTGTTGTTATTGTCTTTTTTAATTATTTATTTTTATTTTAGGCGCATTGTTGTTTTGCCTGCACATATGTCACTGTGAGGGTGTCAGATCCCCTGGCAGCGGAGCTACAGACAGTTATGAGTCGCTATATGGTGGCTGGGAATTGAAGCCAGACCCTCTAGAAGAGCAGCCAGTGCTCTTGCCTCTGAGCCATCGCTCCAGCCCTGTTATTGTTTTTAATTAGTACTCTTTTATTTGGTTTCTTCATACAGTTTTATAACTACCATTAAAATTATATTGAGAACCCAAACCCTTTGGACACACATCAAACACATCACAAACCTAAACATAGCTGTTCTCGAATTAACCTCAACACCCAGTTCTCTTCTTCCCCGAACCCCAAGATGGGGTTTCTCTGTGTAGCCTTGGCTGTCCTGGAACTCTCACTGTAGACCAGGCTGGCTCCAAACTCACTGAAATCTACCTGCCTCTGCCTCCTGAGGGCTGGGATTAAAGGCATGTGCCACCACTGCCTTGAAGTCCTGAGTTTTATTCCCAGGAATGCAAAAAAAAAAAAAAAAAGAAAGAAAGAAAGAAAAGAAAGAAAGAAAAAAGAAAAATCCCAAGTAGGAGCCTGCCATGATGGCACTGCTGCAGTCTTTTCAATACGGTGGGGTCTGAGGAATAAGGATCACTGGACTCCGAGGCCAACCTAGACAGCCTACTAAGATCTTGTCCCAAAATAAAAAGTGAAAAAATCAGAAATAAAAATGTATGTCAGGGCCTTGCAGTGGTGGCACATGCCTTTAATCCCAGCACTAGGGAGGCAGAGAAAGGCAGATCTCTGTGAGTTTGAAGCCAGCCTACTCTATGGAGTGATTTCCAAGACAGCGATGGCTACACAGAGAAACCCTGTCTCAAAACAAAACAAAAAAGTAGCTCAGGAATAGCACCGTGGGCCAGCATGTGAGAGATTCTGGGTTTAGTCCCCAGAATTGCAAAAACCAAGAAACGCAAAATTTAAAAGTTTAAAGAGGAGAATCACTCGATTACTCTGGTAGGCATGTACAGGATTCATGAGATAGGGGGGTAAGTTGTTCTGGGCTGGCCATCATGAGGCCTGAGTCAAAGTGGTAGTGATGGTACTAGAGATAGGAAGGACAGCTGGGGCTAAAGAGTTCTGTGTGGGAAGATTTGACTGTGTAGGAACTGAGGGACAAAAGCAGAAATCCTGCAGAAGGGCTAGATACATAGCTCAGTGACAGAGTTCCTGTCTAGCATGCATAAGGGTCTAGTTTAATCTCCTTGAGTACAAAAAGAACCAAGAAAAGGAAAGAAATGGAAGCAATCACCACCCCATCCCAAGAGCAGAAGAGAGAGGAAGAGGTCTCGTGCAGTGGCAGGGCCCATCCAGAGTGCAGGTGACAGCGCTGGCAAGGGTGGAGAGCATGGGGACAAGAGGACCGCTTTTGTGTTGTTTACTTAGGCTATTGAGACAGCCTCCTGCCTCTGCCCCTCAAGTGCTGGGATGGCAGGACCGTGACACTACACCCAGTTCAGGAATATGGTGATTGTTGCAAACGGAAGGTTCTTTGAGATGGAAGTGTCAGATGTACCTTTTCACTCAGCAGTCAGCTGCACTGTGGTATGAGGTTCAGAGGGGAGGTCTGTGCTGGAGGTGTTGCACGGAGGTGGATCAGCGTCTGTGCAAAGAGGAGTGAACAGGCTGGGTTTCAGGAAATAAGATAAACAAAGCCTTAGACAGGTTGCGGATTCTCAGGGACAGGTTCATCTTTGTTTCTATAAATGTGGTTTATGTCTATAATTTGGTTCTGCTGCTCTGAAAGACTAAAACACTAAAAACAAAACAAAACAAACAAAAAACCGCACCGATGCTATAAATGTCTAGATTTCAACAAGGGTCGCCTGTTTCTGGGTCACCCTGCCACTGCCCATCTTGCGCGCTGCTGGCTCTGCTTTCAGGCGGACTTTATGAAAACCCGTCTGCACTTGTAGCAGCATTCACTGTATTTAAAGCAGTGGTTCTCACCTGTGGGTCAAGAACCCTTTGGGGGATGAATGATCCTTTCATAGGGGTCGCCCACGTCCACTGGAAAACAGACATTTACAGTATGATTTGTTTTGTGTGTTTGTTTGTTTTAGAGACGGGGTTCCTCTGTATAGCCCTAGCTATCCTGGAACTAGCTCTGTAGACATGGATGACCTCAACTCAAAGAGAATCACCTGCTTCTGCCTCCCCAGTGCTGAGATTAAAGGCCACCACCACCCAGCTATACATTATGGTTCATAACACTAGCAAAATTACAGTTATAAAGTAGCAGTGAAAATAATTCTATGATTGGGTGTCAGCACAACATGAAGAATTGTATTAAAGGGTCCCTGCATCAGGAAGGTTGAGAACCACTGATCTAAAGTTATTGAGGAAGCGCTGGAGAAATGGCTCAGTAGTTCAAGAGAACGTGTTGCTCTTCCAAAGGACTTGTAGAATAAATTATTCTGTAAATATTAATTAACACTGGAAATTAATACAGGAACATTTTTCTTGTGTGTGTATGTGTGTGTGATTAAAGCATGTGCCATCACTGTCCTGTTCAAATATTTTTTTAATTTTAATTTTTTAAAAGATTTATTTATTATGTATGCAATATTTTGTCTGCATGTATACCGGCACACCAGGAGAGGTCACCAGATTTCATTATAGATGGTTATGAGCCACCATGTGGTTGCTAGAAATTGAACTCAGGACCTCTGGAACAGCAGCCAGTGCTCTTAACTTCTGAGCCATTTCTGCAGCCATGTTTTATTAGTTTTTACAATTTATTTTTTACTCTGTATCCCTATAGCAGCAGTTTTCTTTAACCAGCTAGTTCCCCAATGATTGACACAGAGAGCCTACAATTTATTATTAAGCTGTAGGCACTATGTTGGGCAGATTTTGAGCTATTCTAGTTCTACGACTAAAACCCACAAAAAAGCCAAACACTTAGCAACCTGATGACTTCCAGACAGCTAGTCTGTCCTCATAGTGCACTTCCTATGACCTCCTGCGCCTAGTCTATCCCATCCAGCCACCAAACTCCTTCCTCCCTCTCTCCTGCTTCATCTCCTCCCTCATAGTCCTTAGAGACCCAAAGCCTGGGGAACCTAAGCCCTGCCTACCTCTCTTCTGTCCAGTCACAGGCTTCAGCATCTTTATTAACCAATCAGGGATAACTGAGGAACATTCCTTACATCACATGGACGCAGTAGATGGTTCAACATTCATAACAATGCTTATGGCGACTGTTTCTGACATGAACTCAATGGCAGGCTCTTTGACCTCCAGGAGCAGCCTTGCTAGGCCACAGAGGAGGACATTGCAGCCAGTCCTGAAGAGACCTGATAGGCTAGGGTCAGATGGAAGGGCCTTCCCTATCAGTGGACTTAGAGAGGGGCAGGGAGGAGATGAGGGAGGGAGGGTGAGATTAGGAGGGAATGAGGAAGGGGGCTACAGCTGGGATACAAAGTGAATAAACTGTAACTAATATAAAAAAATAAAAATTTAATAAGAAACAACAATGCTTATAGCAGAGTGGTGACAGCTCTCAGGGCCCTGAAATCAACATCTGAAAACACAGTGCACAAGACCCTCCCCCAGCAAGGACCTCTATGAAGCAGCTCACACACACCTGTAACACACACACACACACACACACACACGGATTCACACAGGTGTGTGCATGTATATAAGCAGTCAGATGGTTTTACACACATAAGTAACAAATCTTTAAAGTTATTAGGGAAAGGGTAAGTGTAATACAGTAGCAAATGTAGCAAGACTCAGTTTACTTGGGGTGAGTTGTTTCCTCTTCCTGGCAGGAAGGCTAAATAGTCTGGGCCTCTTGGAGTTTAAGTACAAAGGGAAACTTGTCAAAGCACTAAAGTTGTACAATATACACTTATTTACTCCTTTTCATACAGATTCAAACAAATATCTTAATCCCATGCTGTGAATATTAAATTTTCATGACTTATGTAGTTTGTTTATTCCAATTTTAGTATATGTGCTGCCGAAGCGAGCACTGTAGTTTGTTTATTAATGTACACTTTTATAATAGGATTTATGAAGCCGGGTCAGAGAACAACGCAGCAGTTGTAGCTGTTGAAGCCCACACAATACACAAAATTGAAGAAGGAATTGGTAAGTCTTTCTGCCACTCTATTCAGTACCTTTGGTTGAGAGTGTCTATGTTTTTGCTTTGAAATCCCTGGGGATGGAACCCAGGATCTTATCCAAGCCAAGCAGGTTCTCCACTACTGAGCTGTGCCCCAGCCTATCATTTCAGGCCTTTTGTGCCTTATTTTCTGCCCCCACCAACTCAGTGTACCCATTGACACTGCCAATTAAGATGACAAACATGCCAGGCATGGTGGTGCGTTGGTGAGGGTGTGGGCCGAAGCTGGAGCTTGTAATAAAAGGAATCTACTGCATTTGCTTTGGAATCAGCTCCTTGGTGGTCTTTGGAGTCCGAGAGACTTGGGCATAACAGCAAAAGCTAGGCATGGTGCTGCATTCCTGTGATCCCAGCACTCAGGAGGCAGAGGCAGGCAGATCTCTATGAGTTCCATGCCAGCCTAGTCTACAGAGTGAGTCCAGGACAGCCAGGGCTACACAGAGAAACCCTGTCTCAAAAAACCACTAAATAAATAAATAAATAAATAGATAAATAAATAAATGGAAGGAAGGAAGGAAGGAAGGAAGGAAGGAAGGAAGGAAGAAAATTCTCACAAAGTAACTGAAGCCTGTAGATTGGTCCCTGTTATTAGGTGAGGCTCCAGCTGAAGAAGTATTGCACTGTTATGCCCGGATCTTAAAGTCCCCAAAGACCGGGAGCCAGATCATGTATGTAAGAGCAAAGAGCTTTATTTGGGCTTAAGCTGGTCTCTCCACTGTCACCAACACAGTGGATCACAGAGGAGAGCCCCAAGCAGCTGCATGGCAAGATTTTTATTTGGGGTTTGAGCGAAAATCTGGATGATATTCAGCAAGGGTGTTACAGAGTGATTGGCTAACTAACATAACATTGAGTGAGCTGTCTATAGACCTCAGGAATGTTAGGTCGGTGGGCTGCCCAGCACAGATGCCCCACCCTGACATAAGATGCCTTCCCATTCTTGTGGTTCTCCTCAGGCTATTCCTTGGGTAGGGAATATTTTGGCCTTGTTTCTGGGACTGATGACCTTTGGGGGACAGGGGTCATCAGGCCTGGTCCTTTCAGTACTGATTGGGAATTTGTCAATGGAAAGAAACTAAGCAAATTTGACTTTCTTACATTTCTCTCTGTGTTCTCGGGAAATTCACTTCTGTTTCTGAAGCTCATCCATTTATATGTGAAACATAGGAAATAATTCCCATCTCAGAAGATTATAGTAAGAAAATGCTGGGTGTGTTGTCTCATGCCTGTAATCCTGGAACTTTGGAAATAGTGGTAGCAAGATCAGGAGTTCAAGGCTGTCCTTGGTTACATAAAAAGGTCATAGCAGCTTGAGGTATACAAGATCCTATCTCAATGAACAAATAAGCAAAAGAATTATAATATTAACACAAAGAAAGGTTTATGGTAGGATCGATCAGACAGTCTGAGGAGTACTTGCTATGGAAGCAAACCTGCAATGTGAGTTCAATCCCCGGAACCCACACGTTGGAAGAAGAGAACACATTCTTCAGAGTTGCTTTCTGATCTCTACAGTTGTGACACCATGCCTCCCCAATAAGAATAAATTGTATACTGCACTGATGTTTTACCTGAAAGTATGTCTGTGTGAGGGTGTCAGATTTGGAGTTACAAGTGGTTGTGAGCTGCCATGTGGGTGCTGGGATTTAAACTTGGGTCCTCTGGAAGAACAGTTAGTGCTCTTAACTGCTAAGCCATCTCTCCAGCCCTTTAAATAATGTTTTTAAATTAAAGAGAGAGAGGGAGAGACTGTATCTTTAGTGTCTTAACACATTGTTAGCTTGGTAAGGCATAGCTGTTATGTCAAACTTCAAAGGTATCCTAGGGCTGAAGAGGCCACTAAGTTGTTAATAATCTTAACTCAGCTGTGAGGACCTGGCAAGCAAGCAAGTGGTGTACAAACTTGCATGCAGGCAAAACACCCATGCACACAAAATAAAATAAAAATTTATTAAAGTTCTTTTGTTTGTTTGTTTGGAAAGGGTGCCCTGTTAGTGCTGGGGATATAGCTATTTGGAAGAGTGCAGGATCAGTAATCTGAGATCTGAGGTCATCATTGCTGTATGACTGAGCTACATGAGACCCTATTCCTCCCAAAGGAACCAAAAAATATACATGTGGAATTTAAGTTTAGGGAAGAATTGTTCAGTAAATATCAGATTACTTTTTCCATTTTCAGATGCAAGCAGTATAGAAGCGAACGAGGATATGGAAATTGCTTACCCTATAACCTGTGGAGAGAGTAAAGCTATCCTCCTCTGGAAGAAGTTTGTGTGTCCAGGCATAAATGTGAAGTGCGTGAAGGTAATTGTCTCCTGTCCCCAGGTTTTGTTTCAGTGCCTTATGTGTCTTTCACCAGATGAGCTTCTGCAGGGAAATGTAGGCTCTGATCTAGGGTCTCAAACATGTGAGGCAGTGTTCCGCCACTGAGCTATGTAAACTTCCAGGTTCAAACAGTAGCTTCTTCTTTTGCAGCTGTTTTTTGTTTGCTTGTTTGTTTGGTTTGGTTTGGTTTTTGGGACGGGGTTTCTCTGTATATCCTTGACTGTCCTGGACTCACTTTGTAGACCAGGTTGGCCTCGAACTCACAGAGATCCACCTGTCTCTGCCTCCCTGAGTGCTGTGATTACAGGTGTGCACCCAAGCCCGGGTCATACACACACATTTATACAACACATACATTGTGCTGTAGTAAATGAAATGAAATCATATGTGACATGCCTTGAACTGGTATGCAGCATAATAGGCTTTGTAATGGAAGCTTTGATTTCTTTGAGAACTCAGGTATGTGATGTAAATAGGTTTTTTTTTTATTCTCAAATGTGGGATTTTAGTTTGGGCTTTAGTTTGTCCATACTTGATAGTTGCCTCCTGTGGGGAGTGGTCTCTGCCAGGTGGTAATGGCGGAGAAGGGTGTGGTCCAGGACTCTGAGGGATATGTGGCAGTTTGGAGAGACCAGAGATGGACAGAAAGGAACATTTCAGTGCAGCAGCTGGGAGGAACCTGCTTGCTCTGTTTGCTGTTGATGGAGATTGGTATAGCCCCCCAAAGAACCCATAGACCCTAATCAGCCAGGAAAAGTATAGGAGTCTGTACCCCCCCCCCCCATTAACCTTCTCTTTCCTGCCTATGGTCGGGGGGTTGGAAGGAAGAGGAGTTAAGGAACCCTAAATAAACTAGAGTTTAAAAGCAAGCCCAACAAGGCTTTATTCAGAATAGTTATGGATAAGAATAAGCAGGTGTCATAGATGATGCCTGTAGGATTTATTTAAGTTGGAGGCCAAGAGGTGATAAGTGGGAACCCTGTCTCAAAACACCAAAAAAGGGTTCAGTTCCCAGCAACCACATGGCAGCTCAGGACCAGTGTATAAGGCCAGTATAGGGGATCTGTCACCTTCAGCCTCTGCCAGCATTGCATGTGTGTAGTGCGCGCGCGCGCACACACACACACACACACACACACACACAGGCAGGCAAAATACCAAACACATAAGAAAAAAATACATCTTTGAAAGGGTCTTTAGTGTGTCTGTATTGTGTGTGTAGTGCTGTATGTGTGCAGTATGATATGCCGTCTGTGTGTGTGTGTGTGCCTGTGTGACACCTGCTGCCGTACTGAGTGTTCCAGGCTAACCAGGCTTCTGGCTTCTAGGGGATTGTTCTGTCTGTGAGTCCCATCTCACAATAAGAGTGCTGGGACTAGCCGGGTAGTGATGGCACATGCCTTTAATCCTAGCACACGGAGGCAGAGGCGGGTTTGTCTCTGTGACTTTGAGGCCAACCTGGTCTACAGAGTGAGCTCCAGGACAGCCAGGGCTACACTGAGAAACCCTGTCTTGAAAAACAAAACAAAAAGGGTATGGTAACTACCGATCCAGTTCACCGTATCTACCGTTAGCGTGATTTTTGGGAGAAAACTCAGTTTGTTGTCTTGCACAATTAATACTTTTACCGGTGAGTTCTCTCCCTTGCCCATCCATCCTCAGTGCTAACGTAGATCTCTTGAGGTTACCTGAGCAACCTCTAGAGCAGTGGACCCAGCCCCTGCTTCACAGTGTGCGTGGATTTGTAGATGCTGTTTTGTGTATTTATTTCTCACCCTCACCTTTTGTAACTGTCCGAGGAAAGGACAGGGTACTGTTTGGTTGGCCCCCTAGGACAGAAGGATGAGTGACACTGATGTGGCTTGTCATTTTTTTCTGGGCCCATTATTTAATTCTCTCCTTGTTGACCTACCTGCTCTGACACTGGACCACTTCGGATTGTTCTTTTTCCTTTAGTTCAATGATCAGTTGATCAGCCCCAAGCATTTTGTTCATCTGGCTGGCAAGTCCACTCTGAAGGACTGGAAGAGAGCCATCCGTCTAGGTGGCATCATGCTCAGGTGAGTGCTGGTGACAAGTGCTTAGTCATGGGAGAATCTTCTCTTTGACCTGACACTGTGTCCTCTCTGTGGGGTTCGCGTGGGCGGTCTACACTGTTTGACCTTCATCAACTTGTCCTTAATTTTTTCCCTTTGTGATACGGGACGGAACCCAGGGCCTCGCGCATGCTAAGTAAAGCCTGTACCACTGACTTATACCCCCTGCAGGCCCTCACTATTAAGTCAGACTGACTAAGTCTTCCCAGCACCTAGATTAAAGGTTTCATTCTTTTTTAGTTTTTCAAGTCTCATTTAGTTCAGGCGAGCCCTGAACTTGCCATTTAGCCAAGGCTGATTCTGGCATGTCTGGCTTAGGGTGTTGATGTCATGAGGTTAGTTGGACAGGACCCTTTCTTGGCAGAGAAGCTCCAAGCTGATAGAACTCCCTGACATCCTCACGTGGAGGCAGCAGTCTAGGTGCTGAGTGAGTGTAGTTGCCATGACTGACAGAACCTCAGATGACCTGCTAACGTAGAAGACCACCGTTGAGAAATGCCAGGCTGTTTGCCATCACTGTCTAACAGCAACAAAGGTCAGGGTGTGAAATAGTGCCCACTCATCTTGGTTCTCCCCAGGAAGTTTACTGTTGTAGTTTTCCCTCCTGGATGCATTAGTTAGTCTTCCTTGACTGTTTACTGCTGATAGGAAAAACGTGTCATATGTGAAGGCTGTGGCTGGAGAGGTGACTCGGCTGTCTGCTCTCCCAGACGGTGTAGGTCCAGTTCCCAGCCCCCACCCGGCAGCTCACAGCCAGCTCACAGCCTGGAACAACTCTAGTTCCAGGAGATCCAGTGCCCTTCCAGCCTTTATAGAGACTAATATGCGCGTGGTGCACAGACATACATGTTGGCAAAGCCTCCGTACACATAAAAATTTAAAGAACAAAATTTTAAGGTCAAGAATTAGAAGTGCCTAGCTAGGTGTTGGCAACTTTAATGCAGCATTTGGGAAGCAGAGGCAGGAGAATCTAAACTTTGAGGTCAAACTGTACTACATAAAAAGTTCTAGATCAGTCTAGCCTTACTTAAAGAGACCCTGTGGCTGGGCTGTGTTGGCTTACACCTTTAGTCCCAGCCCTTGGGAGGCAGAGGCAGGGGCATCTCTGGGTTGGAGGCTAGCATGGTCTACAGAGTGAGTTACAGGCCAGCCAGGGCTACACAAAGAAACCCTATCTCAAAAAACAAGACAAAAAGAGAGGCCAACCCTGTATAGAAACAAAATACAAACAAGGGGCTGGTTCCAGTGGGTACAGCTTCTCAGGGTGGAGACACATTCTCAGCAGGTCCCAGGCCCTGGGTTCCTTAGAGTTGAGTAGTTTGACAAGAATAGTTTTCTTTACCTTTCTGTTTTGTTCTTCTTGACTTATTTCATGTGCCCAGGGAAACAAGCCTGTGCCAATTTTCTACAAATGTTAAAAAGACTCAGAATGCTGAGAGACCTGTTAGTGAAAGCCAGGTGACACAATGACGGAGTGTACTATAATTAAAATGCTTCCTGGTTTTTTCATGGTCTGTAATAGCAGGGTTTCATGGGTCTTTTCGCAAGGACATTTTCTAGCAGGGGGGTTAGTAGCAATGTTGTATGTATACTTCTTCTTTTTTTGGTCTTTTGAGACAGGGTTTCTCTGTATAGCCTTGGCTGTTCTGGACTCTGTAGACCGGGCTGCAACTCGCAAAGATTCAACAGCCTCTGCCTCCCCAAGTGCTAGAATCATAGGCCTGTGCCACCGTACCCAGCCTCCAGGAGACTTCTTAGTTTCCTAAATTTTACTTACTTTTTGATGTATGTATGTATTTATTTATTTGCTGTTAGATTGAGCTGACTGCCTCACACTAGAAATTCCAGAATGGTCTGTACCATGGCACCATTGCTTCTAGCAGCTAGAGTCTAGCCCCTTATTTTTTCCTTTTCTCTTTCTTTTTCCTTTTCTCCTCTCTTTTTATTACTCTCTCTGCCTCTCTGTCTTCTGAAAGGTTATATCTCTAAAAGTGCCAGTAAACTAAGTATTCTGAAACAGATACTGCCAGGAATGGTGGGTGGTGCAAGTCTCTTCTTGAGAGATGGAGACAGGGATCCAGGGTTCAAGACTGTCCTCTGTAAGATAGTGAATTGAGGCCAGCCTGGGCTACCACCTGTGTCTTCCTAGTCTAGGAATGTCAATTCGTCAGACTCTCTTACAGAATCCTAATTCTGGTGTCATTTCTTAGTTGTACTAGGGTGTAAACCAGCACTCTCATCTCGTAATCGTTTTATTTTTGTTTGTTTCTGAGACAGGTCTCAGTGTGTAGCCCTCAATATGTAACCTAGACCTTGCTGTATAGATCAGATTGGCCTTGAACTTATGTTTGGTTTTTAATGACATTCCTGAGGTTCTTAGTGCATGCAAGCTTGGTGAAGAACACTGATACTGAGGAAACTCAGAAGAGAGATAGTGGTGAATGTGGGCAGGATCAAGAACATTTTTATAATTCCACTTCGAATTTTCACAGTTCAATGACTTCAGATATTACTAGGCTTCTCTAGTCTTCATCATGGACTCAGCAAGACTGTCCCGTCTGCCCTCTGGCCTAGTTCTCATAGGTGAAATGCAGGCTAAAACCGCTTCTTGTCTCCCTCTGAACAGGAAAATGATGGATTCTGGACAAATCGATTTTTACCAGCATGACAAGGTTTGCTCCAATACCTGCAGGAGCACCAAGTTTGACCTTCTCATCAGCAGCGCCAGGGCTCCAGTGCCAGGACAGCAGACAAGTGTGGTGCAGACCCCCACCTCGGCCGATGGTAGGGGGTAGGAAACCACCTGGAACCCACTGTTCTCACCAGCTCTTAGCTCTGCACTCACAGCTTCTCCCTTGTGGGTTTGTTGATTGGCTTTGCTTCTGAGACCCTGTCTCACCGTTTAGCCCAGGCTGGACTTGAACTTGCTGTGATTCTCTTGCTTCTGCCTCCCCAGTGCTGGGATCACACACATAAACCACTGTGCCTAGAGTCCCTGCTGTTTCTCCGTCTCCAGTTTTTAGGAGCGTTGTTGTTCTTGGGTGCTTTGTTGTTCAGCATTACAGCAATCTTGGGTGGGCGTCTAAGCCCTGGAAACAGATTCCTTTTTTCCTCTTAAAATGACTCATTTTTGTTTGTTTTGAGGCTAGGTTTCCATAGCCCAGGCTGCCTTTGAACTTAAGAACCTCTCTTAACCTCTACAATTACAGGCTTGACTCAGCCATATATGGCTCACTCTGTCTACTCCTTTTTTTTTTTTTTTTTTTTTTTTTTTTTTTTTTGGTAGGGAAGGAGTGGGGTGTGGTGGGGTGGATCACCCAGAGATCCATTGCTTCTGTTTCCTGAATGCTGGGATAAAAGGGGTGTGCCTCTACTCCCAGCATGCCTGGCTATCTAAATTGATTTTTTGCTTGTTTGTTTGTTTTCTCTGTGTAGCCTTGGCTGTCCTGGACTCACTTTGTAGACCAGGCTGGCCTTGAACTCACAGAGATCCACCTGCCTCTGCCTCCCTGAGTTCTGAGGTCAGGGGTGTGCCCCCACTGCCTGGCCTTAATTGATTCTTTTTTTTTTTTTAAGATTTATTTATTTCATGTATATGAACACTATTTTCATGCATAGCAGAAGAGAGAATCAGATTACATTACAGATGGTTGAAAGCAACCATGTAGTTGCTGGGAATTGGACTCGGGTCCTCTGGAAGAACAGCCAGTGTTCTTAACCACTGAGCCATCTCTCCAGTCCCCTTAATTGATTCTTGTTGGCTAACTTTCCATTTTTTTTATTACATTTTTGTTTTTCTGTTATCATCATCATCATCGGTATTGCCTGTGTATACTAGGCAAGTGTTCTACCTTTAACTTATATTTCCAGCATTCCTACTTCTTTCTTACTGCATAGCAAGCATTAGAAAGCTGGTTCTGTTCTTGCAGTACATATTCAGTGCTCTCACTTTGATGCCAGGTTGAGTAGAGACTAGAAAGGATGATTAGAATGACAGTAGAAATGGCGTGACTGAGAAGGCTGTGTGCATCAGTGTTCTGCATGAGTGAGACCCAGCTTCTAACCCAGACTTCCTCACGGATGAGTAACCTGGGCCCACACTGACCCTCAGGATTTGTTTAGACAGGGTCTTCCTATAGACCCCTGAGTGGCCTGGAATTTGCTGTGTGGACCAGGCTGGTGTCAAATCTAGGGCTAACTGTCTGGGTAGTTGTTGTTGTTTGTTTGTTTTGAGACAATCTGATTATGTAGTCCAGGCTGGCCTACAACTTGCACCTCTCACATCTGCCTCCCGGGTGCGGGGGTTTCAGGCCTGTGACACTGTGCTTAACTGACCCTTTGTGCTTTTGAATTTGGGTCTGAGAGTCTTCTTATCACCTATGGGAGAGGGAGGAGGAGAGAGAAAGAGAGGAGAGGGGGATGAGAATGTACATGGATATGAATTCTGACAGATTCAGTCATGGCCTCCAGAGACACCATAATTTCGTAAAATGTATCTTGACTACTTGGCACCCAGGCTAACTGCAAACTCATGGCTACCTTTCTGCCTCGGCCTCCTAAATGCTGGAATTACAGTCCTGACCCACCTCACATGGCTTTGTGAGATTGGTTTTGGTTTAGGTTTTAGTGAACCTCATATTCTGAGAGTAATCAATAGGTGAGTAAAAGCCAAATTTCTCAGGGCCTTAATGCCCTTTCAGGAAAGTATCTAGTAAAGAATTTTCATGTATCTGACTTTTTTACTTAAAAAGTAAATATTCCAAAATGATTTCTTTCCTTTTTATTTGCCAAAACTCCTTTGTTTGATTGCCCGTCCTTTTATTCCTTTCTTTTTGCTCTCCTCCAGGATATAAGGTTCACATGTCTATATCACTGTCTGTGTCACTTTGACTTGTCTCAGTTCCTGTTGAGGTTTTTATAGACAGTTGAAAGGGGAAATGTGTGTATGTGTGTCTGTGCCTTTTTTTTAAAGATTTATTTTAAATTGTGTGTGTGTGTATGTGTGCGTGTGTGTGTATCTGCATGCACATGTGGGTGTCCATTGAAGCCAATAGAGTTAGATCTCCTTGGAGCTGGAGTTACAGGTAGTTGTGAGCTGCCTGACATGGGTGCTGGATCCTGAACGAGGGTCCTCTGCAAGAGCATCATGTGCTTTTAACCACTGAGCCACGTCTCCAGTCTTATGTCCATGTCTATTATTCATGGTCCTTTCACCTACTTTTTTTTTTTTTTTTTTTTTTTTTTTTTTGCCTCTGTTCCTCTTGCTTTCTCCTCCCAGACTGATTCATTAGCTATGGCAGCTTCAGATATTCTAGATGCTTATTATCAAACATGTTTATAGTAGGACTCATGACAAGTACACTGTTTTAAATGATCCTAGGGCTTCCTCATCCTCAGTAATTCTGGAGTGGGCAGCCTGGCAGGTCCACCTACCTTCAGTCACTTTGTAAAACATCTGCCTAGGAAGCAAATTGCCCTTGTATGGTTTTCTGGTTTTTTGTTTTGTTGTGGTTTGTTTTTTTGAGACAGGGTTTCTTCGTGTAGCTTTAGCTGTCCTGGAACTCACTCTGTAGACCAGGCTGGCCTCAAACTCACAGAGATCCACCTGCCTCTGCCTCCCTGAGTGATAGGATTAAAGCTGTGTTCCACCGATGCCCGGCTTATTCTTCTCTTTTTCTATTCAGAGTAAGAAGAAAGCTTTTTCCTTTGCAAGGCAAGCCTTTTGTTGTTGTTTTTTTGTTTTTTTTTTTGTTTGTTTTTTTTTTTTGTTTTTTTTAAGAAAACTCAGTGTACATCCTGGCTTACCTAGAGATGTAGATTTTAAACTATGGGCATGTAGGCGAGAGGCAGCATGTTAAAGCCATTAGGTCTTCTGGTCTGTGAGTATGAGGGAGAGGACAGCCCTGACTGTTTTTCTGACACTGACTTGTGTTGTCTCTAATGGGCTCTGCTTAGGTAACATCACCCAGATCGCCATCTCAGAGGAGAGCATGGAAGAGGCCGGGCTGGAGTGGAACTCAGCTCTCACTGCCGCTGTCACCATGGCCACAGAGGAGGGCACAAAGAAAGACTCAGAAGAAATTTCAGGTACTCTCCTGTGTAGCTCAGGTCCTTCTGCAGGTCTGTGATCTTGTTTATGTACAGTACAGACCTTTTTCCTGTCTACTGGTTTTCCTCATAAACATGAGTACTAGTGAGAACTGGCCTCATCTCCCTTCAACCCTAGCAAATGTCCTGCAAGGTCACATTTTACACAAGGGAAGTGAGATTTAAGGTGGTCTGAGAGTCATATTTTACACATGGGTAACTGAGATTTAAGGTGGGCTGAGGCCATTCAGATACTATGTGTCAGAGCTGAACCATTTGACCATGTGACTCCATTGTGTATGCTTTTCTTCCAACTCTCCCCATCTCTGGCACATTTCTTAGGTAAATCAAACTTGGATTTGGTATAAGGGAAAATTAAGTGGCAGGTGGCATAATACAGTGATTATTAATTTCCTTAGAGGGGACCAGGAAAGGCTTCATTTTCTTCTGCTGATTATTCACTTAATAAATATTTGTTGCTATTTGCTGGGTACATACATGAAGAGACTTAGCCACCACCATAGGGAAATTTACCGGCCCTCCCACCCAGCTGTTTGGTTTAGTGTAAGCTAGAGGTAATATCTTTAATACATATTTAGCTTAATAGTAAGTCTTATCTAATTGAAAATAAAATTAAAATTGAAATTAATCAAGTAATGCTTAGCCTTAAATATTGAATGCCTATTTAATATTTAACTGAATATCTTTACTGGAGTGAGATCTGTTTTTATAGCCAGAATCATAACAAATCAAGATCATGACAAAGTGAGATAATTATCCCAAGCCCCTAGTGACTGAAGGGGCTAATAATTTGGCACCAATTCATGGAGGCAGCTAGGCTTTTATGTTTTAATATAGAATCCTTCTGAATTGAAATCAACTTTGTAGATACATGCTGAGGTCTCTGGGTAATGTCTTTGTTTACCTTCTGTCTTACCTGTCTTGTGCCAGAGGACACTTTGATGTTCTGGAAGGGGATAGCTGATGTAGGGTTGATGGAGGAGGTCATCTGCAACATACAAAAGGAAATAGAAGAGCTTCTCAGGGGTGTTCAACAGCGGCTCATCCAGGCTCCCTTCCAGGTCACAGGTAAGTACACTGAACCTGGAAATAGCCATCACTTCTCACAACTCCGAGGCAAAGAGTTCATTATCTTGATTTTACAGATAAGAAAAGTAAGGCTTGTAGAAGTTCAGTCATTGTTTGTCATGGTTCATGACGGTGCTGTGTTTTTTATATGGTCCTAGGGATTTAACCTGACCTCACCATGCTAGGCAAGCACCCTTCCACTGAGATGTATCCCCAGGCTCATTCCGTTTTATTCATCAACTGGGTTTCAAACTTCAGTTTGGTCAGACCATGTTGTTTTAAAGATTTTTTATTTTTTAATTGTGTTGTCGTAAATGTTTCTACTACTACAGTAAAGCAACCTAACGAAAGCAACTTGGGTGTGTGTTGGGGGAAGGGTTCACTTTAGCACCTGCTTCCAGGTAACACTATCACTGAGGGAAGTCAGGGCAGGAACTGAAGCAGGGGCCATGGAGGAGTGCTGCTTACTGGCTTGCTCCTGAGGGTTTGCTGAACCTGCCTCTTTTTTTTTTTTTAAGATTTATTTATTATGTATACAGTGTTCTGCCTGCATGACAGAAGAGGGCACTAGATCGCACTGTAGATAGTTATGAGCCACCATGTGGTTACTGGGAATTGAACTCAGGACCTCTGGAAGAGCACACAGTGCTCTTAACGTCTGAGCTATCTCTCCAGCCCCTGTGCCTACCTTTTTATAGTGTCCAAGACCACCGGCCCAGGGGGGACTCCACCCATACTGAGCTAGACTCTCCCACATCAATCGCCAGTCAAGAAAATACTTCCTGCCAGGCATGGTGGTAGCTCATGGCTTTAACCACAGCATTCTGGAGGTAGAGACAGGAAGATCTCTGAGTTTGAGGCTAGCCTGGTCTACAGAGCTCCAGGACAGCCAGGGCTACATAGAGAACCCCTGTCTGGAGGTTTGGGGAGAACGCATCACATACTCTTCTGTAGAGCGCTCTGGTGGGGCTGTTTTTCAAATTGTGGCTTTCCCTTTCAAAATGATTCTAGTTTGTGTAAAACTAGTTTGGGTGTGTATGGGGTGTTCCTTATGCTACTTTAATGGGTTCCTGTACATACCACCCTCCTCTGCCTCAATCCCTTCCAAACCCCCAACACTAGGTAGGCGAGAAAGAAAGTTAGGGGAGAAAGGGGGCTTAGACCTCTTTAGACTGCTTGCTGATCAGGAGCGTCAGGTTCCTTGGGGCAAGTTTGGATTTTTCCATCAGGATTTTCAGTGACTTCTCTTCTCTTTGCACACTTGACAAACCACAACAAACTGCAACTAGCCAACTGTAGTGGAAGTTTTGGGTTCTTTGTAAACTCAGCTATGTTATGTAAATATGCTTTTGTTTTACTCCCAAGTGTGGGATTTTAGTTGGGCTACAATTTGTCCACACCTGCTAATTGTCTGGGGTGGGGCATGGCTCTTGCCAGCTATTATTGTCCTTCCAGGGAGAGGGGCTTGGTCTAGGGCTCTGAGAGAATAAATATGAGAGCCTAGACAGAGAAGTGGTGGCCTTCCGTGTTGGCCTGTGGCGTGGAGCAGTTTAAGAGACCAGGGACCGTGACGAGAGATGCTTTGGGCCCAGCGGCTTGAAGGGCACTGCTGGCTGCATCCGCTGTGCTCAGAGATGGGCCATAGAGCCTTAAAAGAGCCCTTCCACCCCAGAGAGCTGGGAGAAAGCTTTTAAAAAACGAGCGCAGCCGCCAAAACAACACCAGGAGGCCCAAGCAGCCTGTCTTTGGAGCACCCCTGGGCACTCTCAGGGCTCTGCATTTGTCCCCGCTGAAAGGTTCCCAGAATTTCAGAAGTCACACACTTGCAGAAACTATGTGCACTGACAGAACCACACTCCTGCTGGAGAACAAGGCAAATCATAGCCCCCTGCTGTGAAGCAGCCCCCCCCAACCTGGCATTCGAAAAAAAAAACATTCACATAACTTTTTTTTTTTTTTTTTTTTTGAGACAGGGTTTCTCTCTGTAGCCTTGGCTGTCCTGGACTCACTTTGTAGACCAGGCTGGCCTCAAAACTCACAGAGACTCTCCTGTCTCTGCCTCCCTGAGTGCTGGGATTATAGGTGTGCATCATAGCTACAAAGCTGTTGTTTTTTTTTTTTGTTTTGTTTTTTTTTTTTTTTAAAGAAACCAAAATTCTCACTACACATGTGTATGTGTATGTCTACATGTCAGTATGTGCACACAGATGTGTGTGCTCATGGAGGGCAGAGGCATAAGCTCCCCCTGGAGCCCACAGCTGTGCACTACCTGACATGGGTGCGGGAATTGAACTCAGGTCTTCTGGAAGAGCAGCGTGTGCTCCTAACTACCGAGCTGTGTTCTCCAGGCTTTCGAGATGCTAAGTACACACTGTACCCTATAGCTACTAAATTGAGATGCTGGTAAGGTCTTCAATTCAAAGCATCAGCTGCTTAGGTGGGGGTACAGATACGGAGCTCAGGAAACACAGAGCTGGGGAACGACGTGGCGTTCTCAGCGCTTGTGTATGAAACCATTGAGTGGGGCACACTTCACCAGGGGCTCAGCTCCTTGGGGGACTAAAAAGGCAGACACCCTGGTATATGTCTGTAATCCCACCACACGGGAAGTGGAAGCTCAGGACTTTGAGGCCAGCCTGGGCTACATATGGACCTTGTCTCAAAACACCAAAAGCAACACATAGAACTTGGTGGAATAACTATTGAAGAGTATATGTGAAGTGGTCCTAGGTAAAGAAGCAAGTTTTGTATAGGGGGTAATGGTAATATTACTAGCAATATTACATACAATAGTGTGTGTGTGTTGTTGCTGTTTGAGACCGGGTCTCTCTGTATAGCCTTGGCTACCCTATGTAAACGAAGCTAGCCTTGCTGTTTTTTCTGCCTCCTGAGTTCTAGGAAAGGCATATGCCACTACCCATGGCCATTTACTGATTTTGTTTTCATTTATTGATTTTTTGAGACAAGGTTTTACTCTGTAACCCAGGTCGGCCTTCAGCTCAAAGCAGTGATCTCACCTCAGCCTCCCAAATGCTAGGGTGTCAGGTGTGAGGCATCATACCTGGCTTGTTGGGTATTTGGAGATGTGGTCTCACCATGTTGCCCAGACTGATCTTGAACTCCAAGGCACAAATGGTTCTCTTGCCTCAGCAGGAGCTACATCTGTCCACACCACACCGTGCTTTTGCCATCCTGTTTTTTTAAACCATGGGTCAAAACTTATAACTAGATACAAGGTTTAAAGTTTTTTGTTGTTGTCCTTTTGTGGGTTGTTGTTTTTTGTTTTTGTTTTTTAAAGATTTATTTCTTTATTATGTATATAGTTTCTGCCTGCATGTACACCTCCGTGCTGGCAGGGGGCACCAGATCTCACTATAGATGGTTGGGAGCCACCATGTAGTTTCTGGGACTCGAACTCAGCACTTTTGGAACAGCAGCCAGTGTTCTTAACCTCTGAGCCATCGCTCCAGCCCAGTTTGTTTGTTTTGAGACAGGTTTTTACTATGTAGCTCTGGCTGTCTTGGAACTTGCTATGTACACCTGGCTGGCCTAAAACTCACAGAGAGCTGCTTGCCTCTTGTTTTTCAAGTGCTGAGATTGACTGCATGCACCACTATGCCTGGATGGGTTTTGAGACAGGGTTTCTCTAGGTAGTCCTGGCTGTTCTGGAACTCACTCTGTAGACCAGGCTGGCCTCAAACTCACAGAGATCCACCTGTCTCTGCCCCCTGAGTACTGGGATTAAAGGTATGCATTACTACTGCCCAATGGGAATTTTTTTTTTTTTTTAAGATTATTTATTTCAGGGTTGGAGGGATGGTTCAGAGCACTGGCTGGCTGCTTTTCCAAAGGTCCTGAGTTCAATTCCCAGAAGCCACATGGTGGCTCACAACCATCTCTAATGAGATGTGGTGCCCTCTTCTGGCGTGCAGTTGTACATGCAGGCAGGATACTGTATACATAATAAATAAATCTTGAAAAATAATCAGAACTGCTTTTTAAAAAATATATGTATCATTTATTTCACTCATTTATTTTTTTAATTTTGTTTGTGTCATACTCCTAGCACTGTTTGCTTTTGTAGAGAGATCTTCAAATATTTTACAAAGTCAAAGTTGAATACATGTGATAAATCTGGGTTTAAAAAAATTACCAGGTCAGGATGGAGAGGTGGCTCCGCCATTGAAGGCTAGGCTCACAACCAAAAAAGTGCCAGGCATGGTGATGAGCACCATTTAGTCATCAGAACTAAAGAAGTGGAGGTAGGAGTTCACGGCTATCCTGAGCAAGTTTGAAAGCAACCTGTCAAAACTACCACAACACTAGTTATTGAAATGTATTCAAGAGAGTCCCCCAATTTCTTGCTTCTTTTTCTTGTTGCAGGTGAAGGAGGTCTGATTGAATCAGAGTCTAATGTAGCTCAGGATGGCCTAGAACTCACTCTGTAGCTTAGTCTAGCCTTGAACTCCTGACCATACTGCCTCTGTCTCCCAAGCGCTGGGGTTGCAAGCATCCACCACTATTCTTCATTTGGGTTCTCTCAGATCTGTACCTAGCACAGCAGGGAGCTGTAGGACGTTTCTGTTTTGACTCTACAGACCTGTGCTTTGTTTCAAATAGACGCTGCTGTTCTGAACAACGTGGCGCATACATTTGGCCTCATGGACACAGTCAGGAGAGTTTTGGACAACAGACGGAAACAAGTAGAGCACGGAGAGGAACAGTTTCTCTATACACTGGCAGGTACGTGGAACCCACTTTTATTTTTTAGTGCCTTTTTAGAGGGTTGGCAGGTCACCATTCTAATAATCCAATAATGTTGGTGGCAGAGGGCACAAATCAGCATTCCTTTCACACATTATTGGATGGCTGTTTTTGCTAGTTGTAGGCTTTGTACATTTTTTTCATGGCTTTGCCATTTTTTTCATAATCATAAATGTTGCCTGGGGAGATGGCTGGCTGAGTTGTGAAGTGTTGGCCGTATGCTCAGAAAGACTTCATGTTCAGATCCCAAATACGGACATGAAGAATCCAGGCTCTAGGGCTGGAGGCGTGCACTTCCAGCCCCAGCAGTGGGAAAGCAGAGACAGACAGGTGCCTGGAGCTCATTGGCCACCTGTACACATGGGCACATCCCCACACTAACATACACGCACTCCACAAACGCACACTGTGCAGACAAAGCAGTTGGAAACTATGGGCGCTTTGGTATTTAACTTTTCCAGCTACTTTGTTCATTTCCAAACAAGACTCAGAAATATAATACGGGCACTCTGGGAGGCAGAGACAGGCAGATCTCTGTTGAGTTTGAGGCCAGCAGGGTCTACAGAGTGAGTTCCAGGAAAGCCAGAGCTACACAGAAACCCTGTCTTGAAAAACCAAAAAAAAAAAAAAGAAGAAGAAGAAGAAAAGAAAAAAAAAGACACAAATAGATAAAGAGAAGAGAATGCTCGAGTGCTCAGGTTTGTAGGTGTGCTGGAAAAACAGAAGAATTTCTCACTTAGACGTGGGGAGAACTGAGAAAATTTTGGGGGTGGGATATACCTCCATTGTAAAATGTGCATTTTGCTTGTGCAATGCCCTGGGTTTGAGCCCAACAGCTTCACAAGAGAAAGGAAGAGTATGAGAGAGAGAATATGAGAATAATTTTTGGAGGAGATGAGGCAGGTTCACAATGCAGAATGAGTACAGTTATAAGTTACTAGCCTTTAAATATCTGAGAATATGTTCTAGGCAGTTATAAATCAAAAGGAAAGAAAATTTCTCTAGCATTGGTTTGGCGGTGCATGCCTGTGTCACCTCAGCTACTCCAAGACTGAGTAGGAAGAGCCTCAGTTGAAACCTTCATGGTCTAGGTAGCGATGTCAAGGCCTTCCTGGGCAATTTAGTGAACTATTTATTTAATCAACTATATAGAGCTCTTGGGTTCAACTGCCAGTAATGTCAAACATAAAGTGGGCATGGTGGCACAGGCCTTTAATCCCAGCGCGCCAGAGGCAGAGGCAGGTGGATCTCTTGAGTTCAAGGCCAGCTTACTCTACATAGTGAGTTATAGGACAGGACAACTAGGGCTACATAAAGGGACCTTGTCTCAAAAAGACCACAAAGTAAAATAAAATAATAATAAAAATATTTTTAAAATAAAGGAAAATAAGTGAGCTAGGTATTATACCTGTAATGCCAGCAGTTGAGGATGAAGCAGGAGGATTTGAGATTATCAGCCTGAGCTACATAGCAGTCTTTTTGGGTTGTTTTGTTTTGTTTGTTTTTGTTTTTGAGACAGGATTTTCGTGTGTAGTTCTGGCTGTCCTAGAACTTGCTCTAAAGACCAGGCTGGCCTCGTACTCGCAGAATTCCTGCTACCTCTGCTTCCTGAGTACTGGAATTAAAGTTGTGCCCACCACTGCCCAGCTGGTTTAAATGTTCTCAAATGATAGCTTTGATACACTATTTAAGTCAGCCAGTGAGCCGGCCAGTCTAACCTAATTTGGTGAGTTGCAGGCCAGTGAAAGGCCTTGCTCTTCCTGTGGATGACATCTCAGTTTGTCCTCTTGCCCGTACAAGCATCCACATACACATGGATCTGCACATGCTCAAACATACACACATAAAAACCACAAAGGGTCAAAGAAAAATGTCATACTATGCCTTATAAATATGTACAACTCAAAATATATATGCGTGCTGGAGAGATAGCTCTGCAGTTAAAGTATACTTCCTCCCAGAGAACCCTGTGTCTGTTCCTAGCACCTATACCAGGGGGCTCACAACCACCTGGAACTCCAGCTCCAGGGGATCTCATGCCCTCTCTGGCCTCCACAGGCATCTGCACTCATGTGCACATACTCACACACAGAAGCACACATAAAGAATTTAAAAAATTAATCCTTGCAAAATATGTGTCTGTGTATGTCCATGCCGGGAGATGTAGCTCAATGCTAAAGCATGTCCTTAGGATGCTCATGGCCCTGAGTGTAAATCGCACACCTGTGGAAAGGGAAAAGGCCATGGGAGGCTTCTTTGATTTGTGTTGGACAGGAGGCGAAATTTGCAGAGGGGTGTGTGTGGCTGAGAAAAGTAAGAGCACAGTTTCAAAAGACTCGGAACTGTTATCCCACCCATAATCACACCGTTAAATGCAACTACTGAAGGGTTAATCAGTAATTAACCCATCTCCACAAGTCATGGGAAACAATGGTGTGATTTAGCTGAGGTTACATAGTGCAAAACCATGACAGGACCCTGTGTCTCCCAACCCCTGGTTAATGTTCCCAAGATGACATTTCTTTCTACAAAGTCTGGCTGTTTGGATGTTTTTTTTTCCCCCTCCCACAGATTTGGAACGGCAGTTGGAAGAGCAAAAAAAGCAATCCCAAGATCCCAGACTGAAATCTCAGACAGTTCAAAATGTGGTACTAATGCCTGTGAGCACCCCAAAGCCTCCAAAAAGACCCCGGCTCCAGCGGCCAGCCTCCACCACCGTCCTGAGCCCTTCTCCTGTCCAGCAGCCTCAGTTTACTGTCATCTCACCCATCACCATCACCCCCGTGGGCCAGTCATTCTCCATGGGCAATATTCCAGTGGCTACCCTCAGCCAGGGCTCCAGTCCTGTGACTGTGCACACACTGCCTTCTGGCCCTCAGCTCTTCCGCTATGCCACAGTGGTTTCCTCTGCCAAGAGCAACTCATCAGACGCAGTGACCATCCACCCTTCATCAAGCTTGGCACTGCTGAGTTCCACCTCTATGCAGGATGGGAGTACCCTGGGCAATATGGCCACCATGGTAAGCCCTGTGGAGCTGGTGGCCATGGAGTCTGGCCTGACTTCAGCAATCCAGGCTGTTGAAAGCACCTCAGAGGATGGGCAGACCATCATTGAAATTGACCCAGCCCCAGACCCTGAGGCTGAAGACCCTGAGGGCAAAGCAGTCATCTTGGAGACAGACCTGAGGACTGAGGAGAAAGTGGTGGCCGAAATGGAAGAACACCAGCATCAGGTCCACAATGTGGAGATTGTGGTCTTGGAGGACTAACTGGGGATGGGGCCAAGAGCTATGTTTTGGTTTGGAATTTTAATTATGTTTATTTTTATCATTGTCCCATTCATTTCCACATAGAACCTTTTTTTAAAAAAAAAAAAACAAAAAACAAACTACAAAATCTTGTTGTAACTGAAAATGTTGGGTTCCTCCTACCGTCTCATTGACAAAAGGACAGAACAAGCTACCTTTCCAGAAGTTAGGAACAGGTCACCCAGTGTCCAGATCATCTTTCCCGAGGAAGGTCTTGCTTTAAGGGGAGGTGTCAAAATAACCAGGAACCCTTTCCAGAATAGTCTGTGTACACATGATGGTTTCATTCTTGTAAAGGTGCATTGACCAAACTCTGGAACACAGATCTGACACCAGAAGATGACCCGCTCTCCTCTGTACCCTGGATACAGCCTCAGAGGCTGGTGCAAAACTCTGAAACAAGAGGAAGTTGACTGCTCAGAGCAGAAAGGAGCATGCCATCAGCAGCTTAGAGAGGGAAGTGCTTTGACAAGGAGGGGCCAAGGAATGGCCTTAGGAGGGTTCTCTGATCCCCTCGAGCTTTCTGAGGGATGGGTACCATTTTGAGAAAAGGCCAGTGGCATGCAGAAGGGCGTGCCACTTCTGCATGTGACAATCAAGGGATTGTCACAGCTGTGCTTTTGGGCTAGCTCTCCTCGCCCCCAGCCTTGTCAAAGCCCTTGCCCTCCTCACCGTGGATCATTAGTCCATTCCTTTGCAGATTGGGATGTGGTATAAATTGTTCTCGTTCTTGGACTGTGGCTGTCATGAGAGTGGGGCTCCAAGGTCATCACTTCTGTTTCTTGACTCCAGGAATGGCAGAGTTCCTCATGCAGACCAGCTGCTATTTTTGGTGGAACCCTGCATGCAAGTGTGTGTGTGTGTGTGTGTGTCCGTGTGTGTGTGTCCATGTTTTGGCTTTGGAACCAAAAGCATTCATTCTCTTGGTGCTTCCCCTTATCTTCATCCTTCAGTCTCCTGGCTCCCACGCTCTGCAGCTTTTTGGCAGATTGGGAGAGCAGTGCCAGGTGCCTGCCTGCCTTCACTCCCTTTGAGATCCGCTTCTACAGTTTATACCACAGATGTTCCTGTGAGATACTGAACTCATAAAACGACTTAGGTTTGGCAGGGAAGACTGGTAACACCCCCAGCCTTTCCTGAGGCACAGACTACATGTCTCCTGAGTGAGTGAGCTCCCTGGGAAAGAAACATTATGACATTATAAGAAATATAACAGGAGTGTCAGTAATGTCTGGGGCGGGCTTTTTCCTAAATGTTGCCTGGACATTTAGAACTTTTTCACTTTCTGTGCTGTGATCCCATCTCCTTGACCCTCTTCAGTGTTTGGGGAAGAGTGGACAATTTCTGATTTCTTAAACTGTGTTGTTTACTGTGGTGGGGAAAATACAAACCTGCTCTGGCTGACTTAAAGAATGGGTCAGATGAGCATACATCTTAGGAGTTGGAGGATTTATTATTATCATTAAAAGTAAAAATTTGACTTTAGTTTCTTAAAAAAAAATAGAGAAGGATGCTTACTTAACCCCATCTTCCCACCTGCAGATTCTGGAGACTTTGTAAAGCAACTGACAACTATCTCTCCCATCTTACATGGCCATAAGCAGCCAGGGAAGCCCTCACTGCTCTTTCTAAAGACCCTTAACAGTGGAATTTCTGTTGATGGGCTCAGTGGTGAATGCCTATAATCCCAGCACTCTGGGAGGCAGAGTCAGGAGGATCTCTGTGAGTTTGAGACTAGCCTGGTCTACAAAGTGAGTTCAGGATAGCCAAGGCTACACAGAGAAACCCTGTCTTGAAAAACAACAAACCAAAACAAAAAGAGAAGTATTTATGAACTCTCTTCAGATTTGTTTCAGCTTTAAAACTGGACTTTTCTTTTCAGGATATTTAACTGGCTGGGGACAAAGCTCAGTTGGTAAAGCGCTCACCTTAGCATGAAAGCTTGGGTCCAGTCTCCAGCGTGAAATTAGCTGGTACCGGCCACATACCTTTGATCCTAACACTTGGGAAGTGGAAATAGGAGGCTTAGAAATTCAAGGTCATTCTCAGCTATATAGCAGGTTCAAGACTGACATGGGCTACATAAAATCATGTCTCAAAAAAAATTCTGTTTAGAACAAGTTCTTGGTCTCTTACACATTTTTAGTGAAGAAAGTGGAATTTATTTCTGACTTCCTTAGATTTTTGTTAATCTATAGGAATCTTTATTACACTTATTTATCCGTGTGTGTGTGTGTGTGTGTGTGTGTGTGTGTGTGTGTGTGTGTGTTGGAAAGCTTGCTCTGGTGTATATGTGGAGGTCGGAGAACAACCTGCAGGAATCAATTCTCGCCTTCCATCAGTGGGTCCTGAGAATTGAACTCAGGTTGCCAGGCTTGGTTGCAAGCACTCTTATCCACTGAGCCATCTTGCCAGTCCTAAGTTACTTGAACCTAGAAAGCCACATCTCATTCCTGTTGTGCTCTCTATGAAGTCATTTATCTTTCTCACAGATGGGGAGGACCAATTCAGGACACGGGAGCCCTAGAGAATAGATACAGGCTCGCTCAGGCCCTTTCTTTTGCATTCATCTCAGCTGTTGTAGCATTAAAGGCCCTGTGAGCATCATGCTTCCAAAGTCAGATTTCCTTCACGAGACAGAGCCTGTTTTACTTTAAACACTTTTTGGCAGGTGGATTACATGAGCTTTGCTGTTTTCCTAGTCTTCCAGTTGCTGTCATTGTGAGCTGCTGTGGTGTTTGTGAGGATGAGATCTCCCACAGCCCTGGTCTAGATGACTTCAGATGGGGTGATAACACTTGCAAGTTACTGATATGTGAATAGGCAGTTGCAATGAAATTACTCCTCAGGCTGACTTGATGGTAGCTATCTTTTCTCCAGCCTTTCATTAAATAAACATTTCTAAGTACCATCTATGTATAGTACTGCTCACCGATTGCGCCACCGAGGCCCCAGCATGCACCAAGAGGATGCGGACTCCGTGCTCAATGCTGACCTTGCAGACAGTCCCTGTTCTCTTTTTGTTGTTGTTTTGTTTTATATATATATATATATATATGTGAGCTCTCTGTATATCTTCACAACAAAAGAGGGCATCAGATCCCATTACAGATAGTTCTTAGCTATCACGTGGTTGCTGCGAATTGAACTCGGGACCTCTGGAAGAGCAGCTAGTGCTCTCACCAACTGAACCATCTGTCCAGCCCCTTTTTATTTATTTGTTTGTTTGTTTGGGGTTTTTTTGGTTTTTTTTTTTTTTTTTTGGTTTGCTTGTTTTATTTGTGTAAATGGGTGCTCTGGACAATCTCTGTTCTCAAGGAGGCTATCCGCAGGCCTCTTCTGCAGTGAACCATACTTGAATGTCCTTGGTTGCTTTTGTAATCCTGTTTCATCTTGAGCATTGAGAAGCATTCTGAGATCTTAGTTCCTAGGTTCCAGCAGGCTGCAGAGTCAAAGTGGTGAAGCCACCCCTAGCGAGATACTGCATCACATCATTGTGTTGGGGTGAATGTAGCTTTGGAGTTTGGGCCTGCAGTTAAGAACAACGGATCAAGCACCTGACTCAGCTTGGAGTATGAATGGGGTTCAGCAAATCTGAGAAGTCTCTTGGAGACGCTGTGTGCTCAAGCTTATTTTCAAATATTTGGGCTTATGTCTACAAGAGGAAAGTTCTCCAGCCCCGCCCACTGCTTCTGCTGTGAGTGTGTGGGAGTGTGTCTCCTGCGAGCACCCACTGAGGCAAGCGGAGTCATGCCTGAGTTTCTGGCGATCGTCAGATGGGACCTGGGGCTTACTCACTGGCATGGCTTAGGGTTTCCCTGGTAGAAGGTGAAGTTCTGTGTAGCCCTGGCTATCCTAGAGCAGACTGCCCTGCACTCAGATTCACCTGCCTCTGTCCCCCACATGCTGGGATTAAAAGGCGTGTCCACCACACCTGGCTCTTGTTAGTCAATTTCTAGGCTTCCAAAGAGTAGTGTTGCATGCCTTTCTGTAATCCCAGCACTAACGGGCAGTTGCAGGAGGAAATCTTCAAGACTGTCTCACAAAACAAAAACGTAGGCTCCCACACTTCAAAACACAGTTATTCTGCTTTTTTTGTAGCATGCTTAATGGACAACAGACATTTAAGAGTCAAAGCCACTTTGGTGTGGATTTCCCTTACCTCCTGCCATTGTTTTTGTGAGAGTACCAATATAAATGAAAATATCTTGGAAGTTAATATTCAGATGATGCTTTTCATGTTGGTGTTTTATCCCATTTCATGAAAGACACTGAAGGTAAGTGTGTATGGAAAGTACAGAGTTTATTTACAAAAGTTTTACACTGTGTGCGTGTGGTGTGTAGCGTGCCTGGGTGCAAGGTATCTTGGTGACAGAACGACTTTTTTTTTTTTTTTTTAATATTTATTTATTATGTATACAGTGTTCTACCTGCATGTACACCTGCATGCCAGAAGAGGGCACCAGATAGTTGTGAGCCACCATGTGGTTGCTGGGAATTTAGGAAGTGCTCTTAACCTCTGAGCCATTTCTCCTGCCCTCCCAGATCTCTTATCTCTCTTTAATCATCGTGTGTGTGTGTGTGTGTGTGTGTGTGTGTGTGTGTGTGTGTGTGTG